TAGCACCACAGTTTAGTGTTAGTTTATTCTGGTTGTAAAACAGCACTCGACAAAGTGTTTGTATTTTTATTTATTCACTGTTTCTTTTAAAAGGCAGAAGTTATAAAACTGTAAACAGCTTTTTAAAAAATCTTTTGATCAATCATTTGTCAGTCTGGTCATTCTGCAGAAGGTTCATGTTTTTTCAGCTATCTGTGCCGAAATGATGTAAAACACCACGTCTTTAAAATGATCAGTTAACGTTAACTATCCACAAAACAACTGCAGATCTCTGAGGATTAAAAAGGATGCGTGATGCGTTATTCCTGGATGGAGAAAAAATTCCCAATGATTTTCTCTAGAAGTTTCTCCAGATCCAAAACTGTATACTACTGTACTGAGTACTGAAGAGTACTAATGAGTACTGAATAGTAATAATGAATACTGAAGTGTACTAACTGAGTAACAGTTGTGTAAAATGAAGCAGGAAATGACGTTCTTCTCAGGACGCAGTTCTTCTCAGGACGCAGTTCTTCTCAGGACGCAGTTCTTCTCTGAGCTCTTACACGCTGGTCCTCAGTCTCCTCGTTTTCTTCTCATTCCTAAAGTGTTGATTAGTTCTCTATAACAGCAGCTCTGACAGTAGCGCAGGTTTATATTAATGCATCGGTCTAATACGTTATCGTTTCCATAGCAACGGCTCATTCACAGGGACTCGTAAGGCGGATCGTTGATACGGTGAAGTTTTCTGTAAGGAGATGTTTATACGGCTGTTTACAGCTGCTCTAACGTAAGTGAGAACAAGAACTAACTTGTTACACGGACATTCATTGCAACTCTAAAAGGATAAAAAGTATGATGTAGCTTTTGTTAATAAATAAATTGTCGTTGTTGGTAATTTGATGTGGTGTAAGGGGAATAAAACACTCTGGGACGTGCTGTTATAGAAAAATAATCAACTTCAGGTGGGAACAGTAACTAAAAAATTTTTTAAAAACGTTCAATTCTTAAACCCTCAGCAGCGTCACACACATTCCTCTGGTGTGTGTGTGTGTGTGTGTGTGTGTGTGTGTGTGTGTAAGGATGACCTCTCCCAGGCCCTGGCATCATAAAGGAACACCAAGTGCGTTCAGTGCATCAAAGGTCAAAGGTCACTCTCACACTGGAGTGAAAGTTTACTGAGTTCCTGTTTGATTTCTCGTCTATGGGTTGTTTTTTTTTTTATGTTGATGTTCTTTTATTAATAAATATATCAGCTAATGTGCTCATGATTAAACTCAGCTTTAAACAGAAGGATTTGCATCGTTAATATTCGCTTTATAATAGACGTCTTTTTATAAATTATCTGTAATTCACCGAGGGCTTTATTTACGCTGTCTTTAGTGCTTTTTATGGAAACTTCTGCACAAGTTCACTTTTATTTATCACATATAAACAATAAATAAGAACTGACAGTAACAAGTAATATAGAAACACACTCAAAGTTTACACACCCTCAAGACAAAATTAAAATAGATTTTATTGCAATATTTATATTTATTTAATGTGTTTAGTTTCACAGTTTATTAAGAAAGTTCGGATATATTACAGAATATTAAACCAGTTCACGCGCAGAGTTCAGACTCCTGGAAAGTCAGTTTACGTCTGTTTATTTATTTATTTATTTATTTATTTATAGGAATTTATATAAATCATCTCAAAATGACTTGAGACCTTTACTGTTATTGAATATAAATTATTATCCTGTTTTTGTTCCTCTCTAGAGTCTCTTTCTGGCATTTTATTTATTTATTTATTTATTTATTTATGCACAAAAATCCTAATTAAATCACACAAAATTTAATAAATTTTTGTGCCAGACTCCAATGAACACTTTGGCTTTGTTAAATATAAATATTTTTTAATTAAAGAAATTTGTTTTATCTACATAATCAGCAGCATCATGCAGTAATCCCAAATGTCACGAATATTCCTGTATTTTGTTCAAAATGTTATTTTTTAAAATGATTTTGGTCACCAGTATTAAATATTTTAGACCTGAATGTAATAATTTTGTTTATAAACACATTCTTAAATGCTTTTATTTCTATACACAGAATAAAAATGATATTTAAAAGGCAGAATTCGTACCATGCGGTTATAAGTGATAAATAAAACATCTAAAAATCTGGTTATGTTTGAAAATGTTTTTTTTTGTGCACTGAAACGTTTAATACTTCTATAACTCTTACATTTGGTTCTTTTCAAACTACATTATAGCTGATTGTTGTTTTGTCACAGGATATTTGTAATTTCTTTGTATATTAATTGATATTCATATTTTGTATAATGAATTGATTGATTGATTAATTACAATTACAGGATATGAATAAATTAAAAATAGAGCTACGATTATCTTTCGTATTCAATTAAAATACATAGGGAATGCAACCTTATAATAATAATAATAACAATAATAATAATAATAATAATAATAATAATGCTGTGACTAAAGAAGTACAGTGTCATGGCGGTGGTGGGCGTGGCCACTCGTCAGCAGGTGAAGAGGTGGGCGTGGACGCGAGCAGGTAATGAGTGATTGTGTACACCTGTGCGTGATCAGCTGTAGGTTTATTTATGTGCTGGGCTTTTCCTCAGTTAGCTGTTAATGCTAACAGAGCGGTATAGAGACTCTGAGGAAGTCTGAGCTGCGTGTTTGGGGGGAAAATGATGTATATTAATCACTCACTGTTTTCTGTAGCGTGATTAGCAGAGTTGCTATCTCATATCTGTTCACTAAAGCAGGATGCTGAGGTAGCTATGTTAGCTAGTTCGCTAGAATAATGCTAATTTATAACAACACTAACGCTAGTTAATGCTAACCAGAACCAGTAGCTACAGTGATTTTAATGAGTCTCGTTTTTCACGTCATTTCATTTTGTGATTCCAGTTTAATTAGATCATTTTAAGCTGAGAAGTTGGTGAGGTAAAGCAGGCATCTGGGCACAAAAGAGAAGTGATTTGAGATTTGTTTATTTTTCACATCATGCGTGTTGGATTTAATTTCTAAAAGATAGAAGTCTGTAGTTCCTCACGTCCACCACTAGAGGGAGACACTGCTGTGTTTAAAGCCTCTGCTACTGGGTGCATGTCTCACCAGTGACTGGTGGAATGGATATATTTATATTATAAATATATTTATATTTATATCATTCTGAACAGGGGCAAGGTCACTGCAAGGTCAGATGTCTGAAATAGTTTTTCTTCCATCACTTCCTTCCTGTCTGAAGTGTATATTAAGTGTAAAAAAAGAGGATGAGAATCTGTCCAGTTCTCTATTTTGATAAATTCTGCTTCTAAACAGCGCCATTTTCTCTCTTCACTACCCTGCTGAAAAACACGACAGAAACCATCACAGAAATTCTAATGGTTTCCACTACAAACCATCAGCTAACCATTAAAACCATCACTGGTCCTTAATGGTATCCACTAGATGTAACATTCCACCAGTAGAAGGTGACAAATTACCAGTAGAGACCCACAGGGACCATTACAGCTTCCATTAAACTCTAAGGGCTTTGCCTTGGCAGTATTTCTCCTTAGAGGGAACCCGAGTCCATCTGAAGCTCAAGTGAAGTTTGTGATCTGTCCTGTAGAAGTAAGTGAGCGAATGAGTGAACATCTCTTACCCAGAAATCCTTTCATGATTTAAAAAAATAAATAAATAGCAGGTCGGTGTGTTTAATGCTAATTCAGAACAGCAGTAATATCAGCTAACGCTATCTTCACGTGTGAAATGTAGCAGGATCACCTAACCATCACGACACACAAAACAGAAATGATTTGAAATCTGTTTATATTTTTACATCAAATGTTTGGTGGATTTTATGCAAAAGCTAATATTTCACTAATTTGAGTGTGTTTTTTTAAATGCCGCTCCTAAACGGTATTATTTCCCTCTAGATGAAGCTCTGACTCCGTCTTCACGGCCCTGAGCTCCAGTGAAAGTGTCTGGACCAGAACTTCTCAAACTTTCCGTAGCGAGAAAAAAAAAAAATCCACACAGCTCCTCAGTACGGATTTATTCCACAAACATAATCCACATCTTCACATATTCGGCTCGTTATTTAAAGGATACAGTATTCAGGGTTTCCCATAAACCCAGCGTCATAGGATTAATGTATAGTTTCTGTTTTTCACTCCATGTTGTATCCGAGCGAGGACGAATTAATCCTAATCATTCAGAGGAAACTGACTCCTGTAACACCATTTACTCCTCATTTATTATTTTATCTAATATTTATTTTTTTTAGTTCTAATTTAGTTCTAATTTTTTCTTTTTAGTATTTTTTTTAGATCACATTGTTATTAAAGCTTGTTATTATTCAAGCTGACATTATTTATAAGCGTATTTGTTATTGTTATCTGGATTAAAGTCATCTGTCCGGCCTGGCGTTAAATCCCTGGCAGGTGGGGGTGGTGGGTGTGGTGGTGGTGGTGGTGGTGCAGCAGGTAACGTTGTGTTCCTGCAGCTCACCTCGGCTCACTGTCTGGGTTCTGCGTCCTTATAGGCTTCTCTGGTTTCCTTCCAAAAACACGTCAGTAGGTGAAATAGTCGCGCTAATTTACCCCCGAAGGAGTGAACGGCTCGGGCAGAGCTTACACCTGTAGTGTACAAGCACCTAAACAACCACAACTAACTACAGGCAGCTACACAAATACACAACTAATTACAGGCAACTACACAAATATGCTGGTGTGGAAGTGTACTGTGTGAATGAGGAAATTTTCCCCCGAGGAAACGTACAAAGGGTTTTTGTTTCATTACTCGGTGAGAGGATCGAGTTTCAATATCAGAGTCCTTCTGGTCTTTCCGTTAGGACCCCAGGGAGAGACGGAGTGAAGCCCAGCAGGTTGAATGACTGATTTGAACATCCAGCTGAGGCACGCTGGGCCTCTACACCCCTTTCCATTTAATCGCCCTCTCTGTGTAAAGGTTAAAGATCACGGGTTAGTCAGGGGTTGTTTAACTATAACACTAGGGCAGAGGTAGCTCAGTGGTTAAGGCATTGGACTAATGATCAGAAGGTCATGAGTTCAAGCCCCAGCACTGCCAAGCTGGAGGCCCTCAACTGCTCAGTTGTATAAAATGAGATAAATGTAAGTTGCTCTGGATAAAGGTGTCTGCCAAATGCTGTAAACATAAACAAACAATGCCTTAAAAAAGGTATTAATGCACACAGATGTTCTGTCAGTGATGTGATGTTTCACACACTTTCTGGGAAATGGTGTGATCTTTAGCTTTGCATGCTTCAAACCTAACTCTCTCTCTCACACACACACACTCTTTCTCTCTCTCTCCCCTGAAGGTCCTGATAATGATCAGTTTGACAGAGAACAAATACCTGCAAGTCGAGATGTGTGTGTGTGTGTGTTACAGCCCTGTCTATGGTTGTAATCTGTAAACAAATATTACACACCATTAAAAAGCCCCTTTTAACAGAGAAAGTTTAAATATCTATCCAGCTGCTTAAGGTCCGATCGTTCCCTTCTCACTCCTGCTTCACTCCCAGAAAGTCTCCAATGACTCGACTTCCCTGTTTCTTTAAAGACTGATGAAGTGGTGGATGAGATTCTTTTCTGATGATCATTGTTGTTAATTTGTCATTTTTGTCAGTAAACACAGAGCCTATAAGAGCCCTAAGACATAATCTTATGCAATGTATGATACTACAGACATCAATCTCATCATCGCCAGGCGCACACACACACACACACACACACACACACACACACACACACCTATCTCAACTTGCAGGTATTTGTTCTCTGTTTATTATATATGTTTATTATTATAATAAAAATATTTGCATGCTCTTAAGACCTTCAGGGGGCGTTTTTGATTTTATTTGGCACATAGTTTTCTTTTACGAAGTGGTGTAGTGGCATAAACAGGAAATTCTTCTCTGATGCAGAGTTATGTGAAGGAAACTGGCCATTATTTTAGAGCGGTCCGGAGATGGCCTGGTCCACCGCTCAGGGTCTCCAGCAGAACCTGGACCTGTCAGACCTGGGACCTGGCAGTAAAGACCAAAAAGTGCAAAACTACTATTAAATTAAATTAAGTTGCAGAGAGACGAGTCTCCTCACCCAGCTGCTCCTGAACAAAAACACAAGCACACAGTAAAATGCGACAGTAAACAGTGACGGAACAAGACGGCGAAGGTGCGAGAACCTTTAATGAACATTAGAGAAAAACACAGCAGCTGTTAAAAACAGGAACAAATCATAACAAATCAGCTGTGGTCCTCAGTGCTGACGTCCTTGAGCTGATCCCTCCTATAACATTCGACCCCAGAAATCATTTCTGTGTGTGTGTGTGTGTGTGTGTGTGTGTGTGTGTGTGTGTGTGTGTTTTCTTTTCCTTGTTAATTTAGTGATGAATGTGTGTTTAGTGGTTAAATCGATTCTTCATGCTCCTTTACCTCAATCTGTTGTATACTGTCTCCTATATTTGTTTTGTTTTTTGTTTTTCGTTGTTGTTTTTTCTCTCCTTGGTTTGTCTGCACCCTGTGTACATGGAAACGCTGTCCCCTGTTGCACAATTTATAAAAAAAAAAAAAAATCAGCTTTTAAACACTCATCACATTGAAGCAGGTGCTTTTTTTTTTTCTTTCCCAAAACAGAAAGGTTTAATGAAAAATAAAAATAGGGGTTTTCACAAGTACTGCAGAATTGCAGCATGAGCTGTATTTAAAAATAATATGATGCAACTTTGGGGATTTGAAGCCTTCTCTTATTTATGGTGGAATGAGAAGAAGGCTAAAGGTTACCACTGGGAAAAGTGTCATGGAGAGGAAAATCAGAACTGCTCATGCTGATGGAGTGGTGATGGAGGTCTGGTAAGCTTGTTGAGGTGATCAGCGTCTCCTGCAGTGAGAGAAAAGAACGCTGGCCACAATCGACTGGTAGAACAGCCCCACTCTGAAGGACCTGAGCTTTCTTAGGAAGAAGAACCTGCTCTTCTTTTACAGTGAGTTACAGTCTGCAGCTCAGCTAGACCCCAAAGTACTTGTAGGACATGTACCATCTCAACCTCCTCCCCCTGGATGGTTACCAGTCTTCCAGTCTCTTTAACACGCTGGAGGTCCACCACCAGTTCCTTTGTGTTCTTGATGTTGAGTTGCAGGTTGTTCAAAGTTCATCACCTAACTTCCCCAGGCAGGATGGTGTTAAAAGTGCTGGTGTTAAATGATCCTCACTGTAGCTCCAGGTTTGTTCAGATGTGCCTGGTCTACAAGCTGAGGGACGGTTTCCTGAAGGCTCAGCTGGGTGTCTCGCTGCTGCGAATCCATCCTCCGCTCCCTGGCTACACTGTAAGCGCTACACAATTCTGCAGCTGTTCGAAAAAGTAAAATCATTAGCTGAATTTCTGTCATTGTACTTCACATGTTATTGCAAGCTGCTGATGTGGAAACCGGTTCATTTAATTCTGTGCGTTTTATCAAATTTTTTAAAATTTTGGTAAAAAGAAAACGGCTTGTCTAAAAGTTAGTCTCTGTTAGTGAGCTAAGTTAAGTGAGTAAGCTAAGCAAAATGTTAGCTAGTTTAAAATAGTGTGTACAGTATTTCATTAGTTCAACAGCTGACAATAGTCAATTTTTTGTTCTGATTAAGATCATTGTGAAAGCTGGTGAGGAATCGCTTGGCTAATGTTCAGACTTTGGAATGCTAGTTTGCCAATTCAGTAATGGACAGAAATGACAAATTGATTGATTGAATAATAATAATAATAATAATAATAATAATAATAATAATAAACAGCCAGTGTAACAGGCTGAAACCCACCTTTAGCATGTTAGTACTGTGTGAGTTTAGCATCTTTTATGCAGAGTTTCCTGTGTGACACACCCGAGCCTCCCACACCCTACAGAGTTCCTATAAAGGGGAATGTTTTCTTCATCCTTCTATTTCCTGTCTGTTTGCCACAGGAAGTGTTTAGGACCTGTGACATCCTGTTTTCCAGATGATGACGACGATGATAAAGAAATGACGAAGATGAAGAAAAGGTTACAGAAATGATGTAAATGATGCCTTGGACTCGGGGCTTAGGAGGGAGAGAGAGAGAGAGAGAGAGAGAGAGAGAGAGAGAGAGAGAGAGACCCTGCCCGAGTGAGTGACTCTCCCTCTTTAAACTCAAAGTTGGTCATGTAGTTTTTCAGTTTAGTGTGGAGTCGTCTGTTCATTATATTTAATAATTTAATTATTTAGCACAACGTTTTCAAAATGATCAGGACAAAGCGTCGTATTCAGAGTTGGTCACTTAAGTCTAAAAGTTCTGTCGTTGTTGTTGTTGTTATTATTATTATTATTATTATTATTATTATTATTATTATTATTATACCTGTGCATTGAACTAGTGCTATGTTCCTAAAGGATCTGTACATTTAATGCTGGAATAGTTTCTGTTTAGAAGAATCCAGTTTGGTCCAAAGTCAAGGACAATGTTCTTGTCTACATAATCATTCTCATCCTTTTATGAGTGTTTTCTATATACACACACACACACACACACACACACACACACACACACACACTTAAACAGTTACACAGACCGTTTCACTGAGTCATGTTCAGCACTATGTGGTTGCTGAATCTGGAAATTGTTTGACTTGAGTCAGTATCCAAATGATGAAACATTTACACATCATTAACAGTCATGTGACTGACTCACTCGAGTTAATGAACCTGAAAGAGCTGGATTATATACTCTATCATTTTCCCCTAAAATCCATCTGGAGGAGAAATTAAAAGTAGTTACACTGCGCACACACTGTCCGAGTACAAATGACACAAAAGGACAGATGACCGAAGCGCAAGTTTAGTGGCTTTGTTTTGAATTAAAGAGTCACACAACTTCTGTTTATTGAGTTATTCAGAGGAATCCTTTCTCTACATTTCACTTTATCTAGAATTCTCATCGTAGTGTCTCATCTTACAGCACTGAAACACTGCTTTATCATCGACACCTCGTCTGCTGCGCTTGATGTAAGTCACACTCACGCATATTTTCAGCGTGAGGAGGACATGCGGAATTATTCCTGCTGCTAATTCATGCTATGCTACACCTAAACTTAACCTTTACTTCAGCAACCAAAACAAAACTGTGTGTGTGTGTGTGTGTGTGTGTGTGTGTGTGTGATCCTCACCACAACACAGCGGTGTGAGTTTGCTGTGTTTTTATGTTAGAAGAGACACTGCAGTAAAGTGCAGAACATCAAGCACTGGAAAGCCCTCCATTTTATAATTACTGTTTTTAATGATGGAAGGAAATGTAGTGTTAAAGCAGCGGTCTGCTCAACAAGCCATAAAAATAAACCACACACACACAGGTGGAGAGTCACACACTTTAATGGCCGTGCTTAAGCAAAGTAAAGGAAAAAAAGAAGAAAAAATCAATCACAAAATTACATTCAATTTATGACGCCAAAATAAACAAACCAGCAAAGTGTTTATGTAAATTCCAGTAAATTTAAAACCTAGTACTCACTTCACGCAAGTACAGTTATAATAATAATAATAATAATACTAATAATAATAATAATAATAGAGCCAACATGAACATGCTCTTAGTCATTATATATATATATATAATCACTTTTATATCATAAATTGTGTTTATACAGTGAGAGAACTGCTGAGTGCCATCACAGAGCATCATAACAGCAAAGAGACAAACATGACGGACAAAGGGAAAGTGTAAGTGCAGACGGAGTGTGTGTGTGTGTGTGTGATGTATGTGGATGAAACCCTGAGAGTTGAGAGAAACTAAAGCTGCACTGATGACTGATGATCCACTCATCACTCTCAGCAACCACATTCCTGCTCCTCTTACATACAGAACTTTATCCGTCTGTAAATTCCAGCACGCTTCGGTTTGATCAGGTTCTATCTCACACAGTCTCTTACTGCCATTACATCATTCATTACCTGTATATCTATTAGTGCAAGATATTTGTATTCTGTTTCTGATGCTTCTCTATAAGTTTGAGAATAATAAAACTATTCTATATCGTGTTTATCTATTTTATATTCTATATATAAGTACAAGACTTT